CAAAATTAAAATCGATTGATAATTTTGATTATCGTTTATCATTGCTTAACTATTAGTTAATATTGTTACTTATCCAGTGAGAAATTTCTCGATTGAAATCGGATTATTTTGTAGAATAATCGAAATTATTAATCGATTTATAGTCTTGATTTTGCTGTAAAATAATCTGATTTGTATGAGAAAATTTCATACTGAATAATTAATAATGTCAAGTAATAGTTAAGTCATGATCAACGGTAATCAAAATTATCAATCGATTTTAATCTTGATTTTGTTGCAGAAAAATCCGATTAAAATCAGTGAATATTTTTCACTGGGTAGTCAAGACTAAAGTTGGTGCATTCCAAACTTGACTTAACTTTTTTTATACTTGCTTAATTACGGTACTTGATTTGTAATTTGTTTGTGCGAAATAAAAAAAATCATAAAGAAAAATTACTAATAATATAAAATATTTCACTGATTTTGATCATGAAGTACATGTAAGACTAAAATATAAGTGAAAATTTATGAATTAATTGCTAATTCCTAGCTGAGTGTACATAGCCATGTGGCTATGTGTACTCGAGTGCACATAATCACACGGCTATGTACACTCGAGTGCACATAGTCGTGTGGCTATGTACACTCGAGTACACATAGCCGTGTAATTATGTACACTCGAGTGTACATAGCCACTTCCATTTTTAAAACACTTTATGAAGCTAACGCGACACTAAAGCACGCTTTGTTAAGAAATTATACCTTGTAGAACAGAAGGCATGGACTTCTATTCTGAGGGCGTCGTTTAATTATTTAAATATCTATGCTTCATCCTATTGAATAAAATGAACTTCTCATGCAAAGCAATAAGGTTTATTTTTTGTTTTGGTCTTTATCATACATATTTATGAATCAGTATCAATAAAGAGAAAACTATAATGTATTGAAATCTATTCCACGTGCTCACAGTGATGAAAATAATAAAGACTTTAATAATTGTTTATTGTTCGTATTGTCTATTTTTTCTTTATCATTTAAAATAAGTATCGGTATGTATAATGAAGAGGTATGCATGAAATTGGTCGAAAAATAAAATGTCGAAAGGAAAATGTCGAAAAAAGAACGTCGATGAAAAAAATGTCGAGAAAAAAAAGTCGAAAAAAATACGTCGAATTAAAAAATATCAATGATCTCAGAATGTCGAAAGATATTCATATGAAAATGTTGGACCGAAAAGGTAAAAATTTATTTTTCTCAACAGAGAGAATCACAAATTTTAACAAGGATTATTAGCTACAAAGAATAGCAACTTAATGAAAAAGGAAAAGGGTGTGGATGTAGGTGCGAACGCATAAAGAAAAGTAGCATATGCACACCCACACCCATATCACACCGACAGCCACAACCACACCCAACCCATACCCATAAGGACAAATGTAGAAAAGACTAGAAAGGTTTATCAAGGTCAAAGAAGAGAAATAAAATCGAATATATTAAAGAAAGTAAAAGAATAGGATACAGGTGTATATTGTAAGAACACACGGTAACAGATGGCATCTTGAAATTTTCGACATTTATTTTTCGATATTTTTTTCATCGACGTTCTCCTTTCGACATTTTTTCCATCGGCATTTTTGTTTTCGGTCAATTTCATGTAAATCGATAAAGACCAAAGAAAAAAATATCGATGGAAAAAACTGTCGAAAAAATAAACCTTATTGAAAAAGAAGAATAAATGGACAAATAGTATCCTCAAATAAAAAAATAGTAACAGCTATTTGATATTCAATCCACGACGTGATATTTCGGTATCTATTCTCAGACACTATCATCAGACGTAACCGAAAAACAATTCCATATAATCAGATTAACTAGAACCTAATATTTCTTTAATTTAATTACACGTTTATATATTAAGTGAGTTTCTTAATTTAAAAATCACTTAAAGAGAGAAAACGTTCATTGTGTTGCTGTATTTGTATATTAATAATTATGAAAATAAATGGACAAATAGTATAATCAAATAAAAATATAATGAAAACAACTAAACCAGTGACTTTAAATTAAATATATATTAGGTTCTACTGAATCTGATTACTTGGATTTGTTCTTTTTTGGTTACGTCTGATGATGGTGTCTGAGAATAAATACCGAAATATCACGTTGTGGATTGAATATCAAATAGCTGTTATTATTATTTATTTTTTTATTTGATAAACCTTATTGATTAGTATCAGAAAGATGAGAAGTTCATTTTACTCAATAGGATGAAGCATAGATATGTAATTAATTAAACGACGCCCTCAGAATAAAAGCCCATGGGGGGAGGGGGAATCCATTCTACAAGGTATAACTGCTTTAGTGTCAGTTCTTATAGAAATATTGATCCTTTCATTTTTCACGAAATGAACCTCGATATTCAACAGAAATTTTAAACTCAGCGGCGGGCTTCTATTCTGTGGACAAGGCTTACACATAAAGTTCAACGGTGCAATTATAGTATAGTTGGCTAATCGTGGAAAATATAGAACGAAAGAAAATTAATATTGTTTATAATGACATCTTGAAATTTTCGACATTTTTTTTTTGTTCGACCTTTTTCCATCCAGATTGATGATGCTTAAACAACGGAATACATACAATTTGTCTTTTAGAACTAAAGTTTTTCTCATTTAATTAAAAGTTTCAATGCTATCAAAGAGTCATTCAATCGGATCTACTCTGTATTTAAAGCTGTATTTTGGATTCTAAAAAAAAAAGTTTTTTTACACACAAGTTCAAATTTATTAAAAAACAAAGTTTATGCTTTTTCAATACAAAACGTTTTCAAATATAACAATAAAATGTACCTATTAACGAATCCATAATCGATAAGTTTCAGTACCAGGTAAGTTCTCCGTAACACCACGTGAAAATCCAGATATCATCCATGTAAACAAATCTTCATGTCCAGGTAAATAGTTATTCCAATGAGCATGTTCAAATACTACTTTTAATGCTTGAAGTTTGGGCATTCCATTGATTAATTCATTTATATCTGATTTATCATTAACAACAATTTGTAGAACTTGACATTGTTTTGCAAGTGATGTTGAAAGAAATGCTTTGCATTGTTCACTGTTGAAACAACGATCACGTTCAAAATAATGATAACTTTGTAAATCAAGTCGACGAATGGAAGTACTATTTATATGTAATGGAATTTCTTGAATACTTGATGAATTCCAATTACCAATAATTAAATCTTGTAGACGAGATGCTTGATTAATAATATTTTGTAATTGAGATAAAACAATATTACCATCAACATCATCATCTTCATCACATGATACTTTAAGAGTAATCAATGGATCGAGTCGAGGAAGAATTGTTGACAATTCATCATGAATGGGTAATACTAATTCAAGATGTTGAATGTTGTAAAAACGAATACGAGAAAAATATATATCATTTGATGTCGAAAGATGTTGAGCTAATTTAGTTACACGATTATAAGAACAATAATCATCTTCATTAGGACATGTTGATTTAATATAACCATTGGAATTTTCTTCAAGATAAGTATAATATGAAAAAGTATATGGTAAAGTATATAATAAAACTGAGATATGATTATTTTCAAATTTCCAATGACATCGAATATACCATTCTCGTTCATTAATCCAATATGATGTTTGATATGAATCAAATATTTTATTCATCTGTTCTTCATTTTTAACATTAAAAAGCATAAGAAATCGAAAGATTTTTATTTTTGGTAAATAATTAATAAATAATTGTTTCCATTGATGACCATTTATACGATTTTTTCCGATTTGAAGAGTTAAAGAAGTTAAATTTGGCATATTTTTTAATAAATTTATTGCTCCATTAGTTAAATGATCAACAGTCAGTTTTAATGAAGAAATTGATACGAATTTAGATGGAAATTTTGTATCATTAGAGAATTCATCGATCATAACAGTTAAATGTCGAAGTTGTGGTATAGATCGAAATAATCGAATTAATTCAGTAGATTCTAATAAAATATTATCAATAATTAAATATTGAATAGATTTTGATCGAAATGTTGGAGTAGGAAAATCATATGTATCGTTAAAACTCAATTGTAAACGAACATGAATAAGTTCTGGTAAAATCCAAAGACGATTGAGAATATTACGTAATGTTTTTCGACGAAATTGTAAATGACAATTGATTAAATCAAAATGAGTAAGATAATGAAATCGATTGAGAACTTTTTTGATAATTTCAAATGAAGATATATGATAAAGTGATAATTTTTTTAATTGTTCGAATGTTAAAGATTGAGAAAGAAATAGATTAATTTGATTTGGTGTATCATCATCATCGGAAAGACGAAGTCCAGTTATATAATTAGCGATCCATGGAAGGTTTTGTTGACATAAATTATCATAATCGGATTTCGATATTGATTGTAAATCAAGACCATATGTTTGAAAATGAATAATAAGAAGATGATTCAAACGAGTATTGAGATTCGAAAATGCTTTAAGTAAATGAACACCGTTAAAATACTTGAAGGTATCGATAAGTAATTCGTTGGATAAACGTTCGAAATTCATCTTTATGAAGTGTATATCCTAAACATAGTCACAAAACAATCAATTTAATTCCGGAAAAACAAAATAAAAATTAAGTTTATGCCTTCTGATCATTTTAAACGAAATTGATGAATGTATGACTTTTTATATCAGAGAATGTTAAAAGAGAAAAGGATTGTTTCTTTTATGTAAGGTGCACCAAATGCAAGTGTAGCATAAAAAGAAAGTTTTTTGTTTTAGATAGAACTCATCGAGCTGAATCTGATTTTGTTCGGGAGAAAAAAACGTTAAAATACTGAAAATCCAGAAATAACCGACCAATAGATGTCTTTCAGAAAGATAAGAGTTTTTTTTCACTCATATGTTCGCTATTTGTTTCAGAATTTCAAGCTGAATCTAATAGTATAATTTTTTATTTCGATCGAACAATTTGTTATAAAGAGCAATGAGACAGGGTGAGAAAAAAA